AGTTGAGGTGGTTCGGGCACCTAGTTAGGATGCCACCTGGGCGCCTCCCTAGGGAGGTGTTCCAGGCACATCCAGCTGGGAAGAGACCAAGGGGTAGACCTAGGACCAGGTGGAGGGATTATATCTCTTCGCTGGCCTGGGAGCGCCTTGGGATCCCCCAGTCAGAGCTGGTTGATGTCGCCAGGGAAAATAAAGTTTGGGGCTCTCTGCTGGAACTGCTACCCCCGCGACCCGACCACGGATAAGCGGAAGAAGATGGATGGATGGATGGAACCCCCAACACCAAGTCCGACGATTTATTTTCTCAGCCGCTCCTCCGCAAGATGGCGTCGCATGACGTCACAGTGGCCAAACAAACAAACCTTGGCTTATCGCTCACAGCTGCTTCCGCCGATAGTACAACTTAGTTTCGTTATCATGTCTGATTCTGAGTAGACTATAGACTAAAAGCTTTAGGAATCCAAACTATAACATATAATAAGTACCCTGTATCAAGATTGATGCAAAACAAGTGAAATTTGACCTTTTTAGAGGTTTAGAAAAATAAAGTCCAGGCGGACTCACCACTGGGTAATTTGGGAACCATCACAACCAAACACAATGCTAACAGTGAGACTCTGAATTAGCCCCGAGCGAAAAATGCTAACCTATTACTGCACCGAAATCACTCCTAGCTCCCTTATTACTTATCCTAGCTCCACATCCAACACATTGTTTATGATCGTAAAGACACAGAATCTAACGGTGCCCACCTCTATAAGCACCCACTCGGCTGAAAGAAATGAAAGCATGGCTTTTTTGATGTATAGGCCTAATGAAGTGCTCACAGTCATTTTTAATTGCGCGGGGGGCATTTTTAATTGGGCCAGGAGGAATAATAGTGGATTTAATCCCTATCATAATGCATATTGTTCACACTTTTCCATTATGAGTGGAGGAGCGATGAATGAGCTGCAGATAAACTACAATGCTAACAGTGAATTAGCCCCGCGCGAAAAACGCTAACCTATTACTGCACCGAAATCACTCCTAGCGCCCTTATTACTTATCCTAGCTCCACATCCAACACATTGTTTATGATCGTAAAGACACAGAATCTAACGGTGCCCACCTCTATAAGCAATACAACTGCAATTCCGTTATCTGCGTTATCTGCTGTGCTCCGTGCGCTTTGAAATCTAATCAAAAGTTGTTTACCTCAATTCTTTGGCGTTTCTTTGGCATTTCTCTTTCGTTCTTTCAGTGGTTTCTTGTGCTGAAATATGGAGGGGACGGCTCCGGGTTTCAGCCTCCGACGTGCTATTAATGCTTCTCCACCAACAGACTTCATGATAGCAGGATCAACGTCGTATGCATCACACGCGAAGTGGTCAGAACACAACTTGCTCCATTTTGTCGGTTGCCATCCAACACGATTCACTAAAAAAATCCATTTTTTGCGGATGATTTGGTCTTTGGGAAATGCATGTAAAACTCTCCCAGATCCCGCACCGTTCGTACAACAAAAAGCACAACAATAACCCATGTTAATTCAGTTTTCTTTTCGAAAAACATGTGACCGAGACTGCAGAGTCGGGATATTTGGTCCAGAGACTGTTTGGCCACTATTACGTCACGCGCTGCTGGGAATTACATGTCAGAAATTCAGACGGCTTTGGGTCGAGTTTTGGATCAATAAAAAGCTTTTTTTTGGGTGTATTATCTCGATTTAAATAAAATAAAAAATACAGGCAGTCTTAAAAACAACATTTCTATAAAAATGTAGCATATTTGGAAGCTTTGCATTTGATCTTTAAGATGATCTGTGGAGATGCATCAATCTGTTACACTTTAACAGGAAAACAGGCTAATTTCACGAAAACCAAGCAATTGAAAATTACAAAAAATGATATTAAAAAGGTAAACAATAAGGCTCCTCTATGTCAATAAATGCAAGAGATGCAGCATTTTCTCAACAATGTTTAATTTACATTTTTCATCTTCCTCAGACGTCACTCATTGGCTGACAGCCCAACGGTGATTTGGACTTTATTACCCCAAAAACCCAAGCCACAGCTTTGCTATCATTGCAGTTTAAATGATGAAAAGTGTGGTGTGTGAAGAGGAGGAGAGAGACACGTCCTAAAACCAGGAAGTAAGCTGCACATGGCTTCCCTCCACAAAAAAGCAATGATATTTCTCCATGGGATTTTAGAAAATAGCTCCAAATAAGATCTGTGGGAAAAGTACCTGTTAGATAAATGCACATTTTGTTCAGCCGGATAATATCCACATGTCTACCCTACTTTTATCATTTTCGAATCATAAATCTATCGATTAGATTTATGATAGACTTTTGAAACTACAAGAAGATAAGGAGGACTTTTACAAAAAAGTCATAGAGATTTTTGTCCAGAAGGATAGGCAAATGGACTTCATCTTCAAGTCAAGGTAAGACCGCAATTTGATTGAAAATGGGATCTTACTAAGAGAGAACAATTCAATATTTAAATGATAAAATTACATTGTTTGGGTATTCTTTTGTTGAACTGTCTGTTTAAAATTAATCGAAGCATCAGACAAAAAAAGCTTTTGAAAATAATATTATATTTTGATTTAGGTCAAAATATAATATTTGTAAACCTGAAGAGTCAGTGCTAGTGCCTCACCAGCCAAGAACCTCACTGCAGAAGCTTATATATAGACATCTACGATTTTTGTGCCCCACCACTTTTGTACATATAAAAACGCCACTGCGAACACAGTAGGGGGCTTGGCTGTCTACAAATAAAGACGGCTCATTTTAATTCTCCCCAAATATATTGAGGCTGAACCTGAACTTTGAAATCTCTGCTCCCATCATAATCTTGGCGATCTTGTTAAAATTGTGAATGCAGAATTAAAAATACTATGTAACTGGTTTGCAGTTAATAAATTATCCCTTAATGTGGCCAAAACAAATTACATGTTATTCAATACAAAGTCTGAGAGTAGAAATGACTGCATTATACGGATTTGCAATACAGAGATAGAATAAGTTGGTGCATGTACATTTTTAGGACTTCTTGTTGACGAAAAACTCAATTGGAAGCACCATTCCAATGGTATTTTGTATCATACTAAGAACATTCTTGAAGAAAAGATACTCTTTATAACAGTCTATTTCTCCCTTACCTTTACTACTGCTCCGAAATATGGGGAAACACGTACTCAACAAATCTACAAAAAATAATAACATCCCAAAAAAAAGTATTACGAATAGTCTGTGGTGTTGGTAAATATGAACACACAACTCCCATATTTAAAAAAACTCAATCTATTAAAATGTGTTGAGATAGTACAGCTTAAAACAGTACTGATTATGCACAACATTTTCCATAAGAAAATGCCTAATAACATTCAAAAGCAGTTCCAAACCACAGCGTGAACATATGAATGTAAAAAAAGTCACTTGAAAATAAGTGTTCACAATGTTTATATGCAATTATGCATATATTATTATTATTATTATTATTCATTTGCCAAGTACATGTGTACCTATGTATATATTTATATATAGTATTTTAATTTCCAAAAAAAGATAGTTGAAACTGCTATTGACATGTGCAGAAAATGACCCTATATCTAGTTTTCGTATATATATATATATATATATGCATTTATTGTTTTCCTGCCCTAACTTTTATTTAATTTTTTCTCCTGTTTTCTTTATTTCTTTGTACTCCTTAATTTCTATACGTTTTTGACGCAATAATGCCGCTGTATTAGGATGATGCACGGGAGGGCTACTTTCCACAAGCTATGCTTCAGCCCTCCCGCTTCTACTAATTTTGTTCATCTTTGTGTGTATGAATGAAACTTTTTTTGTTTTTCGGATGAATAAAAAAAAAAACTTTCAGCTTGGGGGCCCCCTAGTGGCCCTATGCCCCCGCATAGTCCGCCTATAATAGGAAGAAACGGCCCTGTGTACAATCACCATGAATCACTGACAGGTTCTTCCATGACAATGAACCTGGACACTTAAGTTTAATTGCAGTTCATTCAGACACTCCTGCTGCTTCAATACTCTTTAAAGTTCAAAATGTGTGTTCATTCGCAGCATTACTATTGTATGAGTAAGCTTTGATTTGAAACACAAGTACCCAGCAGTTTAAAGGTGGGGTATGTCATTTATTTCAGAAACACTTGTTATATTCCATGGAATGCTCTTAACATCCCGATAGCAATGAATATATTAAATGCTTTGACATTACATTAAAAAATCTTCATCTGTGGAAGCCGTGGCGCTGTAAAAAGCACGACCAATCATTTTAGCCGGCCCGGCTAAAATAACTGGATGGCCTACCTGCCTGTCAGCCTTCCATCTCGTGCGCAAACTTATCTCGTGCCCTCATTGGTCATGTGCGCGTTCGTGTGTGTTGGAGGGGCTCTGTAAGGAAGTCTGTAAGGAAGTGGCAGATTTTTTCCGGCTGTGTATTTTCAAATTCTAGCGCACTCGAGCTGGTTTCTTTTAAAAAAGTAAATATATATTTGTGACCCATTTTTAGAACAATACATATTTTAAGAATCAGAATCTATTCAGGGTTTGTATGTAGCCTTTTGTGTGATTTTTTTTATTGACCCTGAATAATAAAAAACATTTCTGACAGTAAAAAAGGAATAGAACTTTAATATAAAAGGTAGTTATAATTATTGATAGCTAAGTTGATTTTTTCTTTCTTTTCCTTAAGATGTTATATTTGACACTTTTAAACAATGTGATTTCTGTTTTGATATTATCATAAAAGTACTACTTATTCTTTATCAAATCTGTGAGTTTCTACTGTGTAAATAAAGGTTTCAATCAATACAAAACGTTTTAAAGAGTCGACTAATCTTCCACTATAACACAAAATACACAACAAAATAAAACTATATAATACTGTGTGTCTCTAAATATTTGCGTTGGAGTTGTTAGGACACTACAGAAAGGTCAATATAAGGAAATAACATTTCTAAGGATACAGTCCACACCTACAATTACTCCACCTTTTCACAGTACTACCCCACCTTCTCTCACATTACAGTAACATCTGTTTGGTTGTGTGTCTCAGTTGCTCTGTCATAGAGGAAGAAGCAGTGCTAGGCTCAAACATCCTCCAAACGTCTTTATCAAGGTAAGCAGCATCACATCTGTCCTTTTTAAACCTACATGCACAGGCTCGGAGTGAGGGGAAATATACACTAGCAGTACCTGAACGTTTTTTAGTTTTCCAGATTTGTTTTGACTTTAACAAATCTGTACTTCAAAATCAAAGGAGAGCCACTTGTAATAATAGGAGCTTTATGATCTATTTGTGTTGAATCCAAGCTAAATATTTTAAAACATTATATAATGAATGTCTTACCCTTTCTGGCGAGGTGAAACCTACGGTAAATGCCACTTAGTGTTGGAATGCGTTGCTTTGTTTTAATGTGTGTATAAGTTATCGCTCAATCAATGAATTAAAGTTTATATATATATATATAGCCCAAATTCACACATTTTCCATTTGTCTCGGACCCTTTACAGTTTGTACAGAATGTTCAAAAAAAAGTGGCTATGGCTCATTAAGAGGCGGACAGGTTAAACATGATCGGCCAATCGCTCTGATTTTCCAGTAATTCACTGACCAGACTGCATTCTCTGGTTTGTCAGGAGCTTCCGCCAAGCAGCTTTAAAATTACATTTACATATAGTATGCAGCATTTAAAAAAATTCACTAGCACATTCTGTGAAGATATACACATGCTATACATATGCAGAAACCACAAGTAAAGCATGAATCGGCATGAGCCCAATCCAACAGATTTATACTGAAAGTGATGTTAACCACTGTTAATGAATGTTTTTTTGCATTGGCCAAACCAGCCTTTTGTATTACTGCTGTGCTACTGTGATAAAGTTTTAGTGTCCCACAGAAACTTCATTGATGTTACCCACAGCTGTGATTTGACTCAGTAGGGAAAGCAGAGGTTTTACCGATATCATTAACCATCGAAGCTGCAGGCCACCGAGCTGTCATTAAAACAAATTGCTTTCACCTGTGCTTTCTATGCCAGCGTTGTGTTCGAAAACACATAGTAATGTAGGGCAAACTACATAATCTGTATGTACTGCATACTGTCTCGTTATGTGAACGATGTAGTATGATATTACTAATGAATCTTTCATGCATAAAAGCATATAAAAAATGATGAACCGCTATTGGTCTGGCTCAAAATTTGACACGACTGATGCATTGTGGGACAGTTTGGTATCTGCTGTAAAATCAAACTGCATAACATTTGCATTAACACATTGTTCCTCCAGTCAGAAGAAACATTTGTTGACATGCTAGCACTAGAAGAATACGTATCCGTATTTGCTTGTGCTTTCTTAACACACACACACACACACACACACACACACACACACACACACACACACACACACACACACACACACACACACACACACACACACACACACACACACACACACACACACACACACACACCACCAGTAAGTGTGATGCACTGTGCACTGCTGAGTAAATTAAATGGGCATATCTTCCTCTCTGGTGCATGTTCACTGCAGATTTGCTGTCGATCAGCGTTTGGAGTATCATTTGTATTGTTGCATGGGACTTTGGATCATGTGAGGGCAGTGAACGATCTAGTTTCCCTTGGACAATCTATTATATAGTGAGAAAGCAATGCCACCAAACCAGTTTGCTTGCTACATCGTGGAGAGACAAATGGCCATTCACTGCTTTGAAATGCTTTTCCAAAAGGCGTTTCCAAAAGCAGACGGTTGACATAAAAAATTCCAATCTGGAGCCAGTAGCGTGGGGTGGGGAAAAATGTAGGGGAAGCCAATGTTTTTGGGTCGGGGGGGGTCAATAACGTAACCAGATGAGTGATTACAGCGCCCGGTAACATTTTACACACATTTGTATCATACAGATGCAGGACTTGTACACGCCTGTTATCTAAGCGACAGGTCCGCATGCACTCTCCAGCTGAAACTCTCTCGTCTTATTAATTTAAGCATTTTCTTATTAATTTAAGCATTTTCTTATTAATTTATGCCAACCTCCCCCCACCAATGCAATACCAGCCGCTCAATGCGCAGTGCAGATTCGGTAATTAATAAATAAGAAGCATTCATTCACAAACTAAATCAGGAGACCTTTAAAGTTTTACGTTCACATCAAAGTATCAGTATGCGTTGTGTTGATAATGGACGAGACCCGCCGAGTCAGCGTAAAGTTGAGACGATCTCTGTTTAATGTCTGAATCTGATAACAGATAAAATGATCAGTTTTACATACATTTCCCTCAGTGACTCCTCTCATTGCTTGGAACGTTTACAAAAAGGGAAGAGGAAACGTGAGGGACACAATATATACAAAAAGTAAAATCACAAAGAAAGGAAATGAAAGTCCTCACAACAATAAACTCCTGAGCACAGCTCTCCGACCTTGCCAGGTATTTAACATTCAATAAAATGAAGAACACAGAATACAATAATATAAAACACAGAATGTGTGTGATTATACAAAATAAAATAAAATAAACCCCACTGCATATTTACATCTGTTACACTAACACACACTGCAAGTGCAGCAACAGTCCTCGTCTCTGTAATTAGTTCAGTCCGTAGTCCAAAAGTAACACAAAAATATAAACAATCTCATCTATTCAGGTGATCGGGCCCTATATGGCATGCTATCTGCGGTGCTGATTTTCGGATAGCAGCACCCTGTGCTAATTAAACAACTGCAATAAAACAACTACTTCAGACTGAACACCTGCAGCTAAATCCAGGCAAGCAATGCACAATAACCAACAGAACCACATCAGAAATTGCACACATAGCTACACGGGCAGTTCAGGCAACAGGTATGCACAGAGAGAAAGGGGTGTGCATTTCACTCACCCTATTTGAAGAGGAAGGCCATTCTCCTGTCTTTCATGGTAGCGAAGTGGTCAATAACAATGTCATAGAACTTCCCAGCGGCCTTTAGGTCCTCCACAACAACAGAGTCAATGGATATTGTGGCTAGGTTGACAAGTCTGTCCTGTCCACACGTGTTCCTCAGATACGTTTTGATCCTTTTTAGACAGGAAAAGGAGCGCTATGCTGATGTGCTGGTGGCTGGTATCGTGAGCATGAGCTGGAGCAGCTTGTAGACCTCGGAGAGTGTGCCCTGTAGGTCATCCTCAATAAGAAGCTGTATCAGCTCTCCTGGTGGCTTGTGAAACAACCTGTTGTTGTACAGCGTGTGCAGCTCATTCCTTAACTTCTGCTCATCAAAGAATGGATACGTGTTGATCAGCTGAGCCAGCTCACTGCTGGGAAATGCATCAGGGTTGCAGAACGATGTGAATGATGTGTGTTCCAGTATCCGAAAAAAGTGCAGGTGCTCCATATCTGCAAATCTTTGGGTCATGTGCAACACTATGCCGTCAACAATCTGGAAGTAAAGACGCCGGAAAGACACAACCGTTTCCTCGTCTCCTTCTTGGTGCTGGTTAAACCCTTGCTCCAGGTCGTCCCAGCCGCGGCGACGTCGTTTACGTCGGGGCACAGGATCGCCGACTGCTTTGACCGTGTCATCGTAAATGCGACTGAATGTCTCATCTGTTCTTGTGGCTTTGAGAGCGCTGAGAGTGCTCATGATCCGATCCTGGCATTTTTTTATGTCCGCCGTCTTGCTTTGCAGAACCTGGAAGAGTGGTTCTGTGAGGCCGAAAATGGACTGAAAGACCCCGAGCAGGAAGGTGAAGTCAAAATCCTCAAGTTTTTGCTTCAAGGAAGCACTCTGTGCAATGGTCTCTTTGTCCCATCCCGGCTCTGTCATTATCCTGTCAAAAGCGATACAGAGCGACCCGCGTCCTTCATGGATGGCGTGTACTGCGCAGCTTTTAAAGTTCCACCTCACAGCAGAACCCCCTGGTACACGCACAGCTCGATCAACTTCAGACAGTGCTGATCTCTTACATGAACGTGAGAAAAAATTGTGGAAGGCATCGAGATTGGCAAAAAACAGTTTGGCTGCTTGGATGTTGTTTGTGCCTTGTGCTAAAACCAAATTTAATTTGTGAGCATAGCAGTGGATGAATAGCGCATTGGGGCAGTGTGCTTTCACTAAAGCCTGAACGCCACCGTGCTGTCCACTCATGCAGCTTGCTCCGTCATAAGTCTGACAAATCAGTTTGTTTGTTGGGCTGTAGTTCCCGATGGCTCTCATGACAACTGATGTTACAGCTTTTGCATCTCTTTCTAAGCTGACATCAAAAAAGCCGAGGAAACGTTCACACACACTGCCTTTTTCATTCACATATCTGATTATGATAGTGAGTTGGCACTTATTGGAGATGTCTGATGTGTCATCCACTTGTACAGCAATGAAAGGAGAAATATGTATTTCTTTATCAGTCTCATCCTGGATACAACGAGCTATGCTCTCAATTATGTCATTTTGTATGGTGTTTGACATACCACTGAAGACTGTTGACGATCCCAAGTGCTCCGCGAGTGCAGTGTCAAACTCTGCAAATGCACGTACCAGCTCTACAAAATTGCCCCTGTTAGAGCTGCCAGCGGCCTCATTGTGTCCCCTGAATGCTTGCTCTTGACGTGCAAGGTACAGGGCAGCAATGATGAGTTTCCTCAGAATATCCCGGTTCTTTTTTACTTGTTCGTTGTGCTTCTTTGTGCTAATGGTTCTTGCTACATCCAGAGCCTCGTCAATCCTGACGCGTCCAAAAAGCTTTAATTTCACAGCACAATCTATATGATTTTTAGATTTACCGTGCCTCTCAATTGCCCGTGACAGGTTGGCAAGGTCGATGAATCCTGAAGTTGCCCAAGGATTGTTCAGGGAGCACGAACCCTTGTCAAAAAGAAGACATGGCCATCAAAATAGACGCTGAAGTTTAGCGCTTCCAGTTAGCCACTCCGTGCGGACATAATTGTCCTCATTGAACGTCCGATTAGATCCCTTATTCCTCTGTGTACACAGCTCGAGTGTGGGCGTTGTCCTGCCATCTGCTTTAATTTTTAGTTGCTGCTGTAGCGGAAGTTTAGTGAAGTTATGCTTAATTAAGTACGCCAAATCTCCTCCCTCCATAATGCTTCATTTGCTTGATCATTTCTAACGGCGGTGATGACAGTTACAGTATTCAAATTGATGTTGATGTGATTGGATGGCAGTGTCCAATCAAATCGCCAGCCGCCAGCCGCCCCTGAAGGGAAGCTAGAGGCGGCTGGCTTCCCCTGGCATGGCCCTGACCAATCACAGGTTGGCAGGGGCATCACGTGGGCCTCATCTGATTGGTTAATCCCTCAATTTTTTTTCACCAAGGGAAGCTAGATTCTGCTGGCCTCCTCTCGCAACAGTGAATGCAATCTACTGTTTCACCATGACATCTAGAGGGGCGCTGTTTCACTCTTTGTAAAATACTCAATGAGAATGGGGGAGAGACGGAGAGACGGTCCGGCAGGAACACACAGGAAAGTAGAATTACAGAAACAAAACAAAGTGTTTTTATTTATTTATTTAAGTTATAACTACAATCCGAAAAAACAGGGGAAGCCTGGCTTCCCTTGGCCTCCGGGAGAAAACGCCACTGTCTGGAGCCAAGGAGCACACTTTCTCAACCAAACCTGCTTAACACCTTCCATTTGCCTCAATCAGAGTCACAACTGATTTCCAGGTCATGTGCATTACTGAACGGGTCAAGGAGGCCTTCACCTACAAACTGTCACTCAAAGAGACACATACTAAGCAGGAAGAGACTCAACATGACCAGAAAAACAAAAAGAATCACAAACTAAGCTTTACAAATGGGAAACTACTACAAAAAAAGATATATAAAGAGACACAACATAAGCACAGGGGGGTGCAAAACAACTCAATAATTATAAAAAATCACCATGAAAAGACACAAAAAACACTACAACTGATTACAAAGATAACTTCAATATCCTTTTCATCTCATTTTCTCTTTCAGCAGATATCATGGAAAAGGGTCAGCCACCTTATCCGACAATGCCAGCCCCCCCGTACCCTGGTCCCCCGGGTCCCCCTGGTTCCCATGTGAACATGGGTTACCAAAATCAGCCTATGCACCAACCCAGTAAGAGAGAGGCGATCTTCATTTGTGTCATATTACCATTGTTCTTCTCCTTTTAGTCCATGTGGAGCCTTTTGGTAGTTTGTATTGCTCTCTATTTAAACGTCTCCTTCCCATATCCAGTTCAACAGCCTGCTTACCAGTTCAACCAACAACAACCTCAGATGGTTCATCCTGGTGAGTGTTTCTCCTTCCTGTTTCTCACAAGGAATAATAATAGCAAAAAAAGAGAGAGCTTTGACGTTTAGTGACAGCAGGTTGGTGAGGAGGACTGTGGGTGTCAGTGAGTGTGACAAGGTGTCTCCCTTACAGTGAACCAGGTGGTGGTGCAGCAGCTGCCGACTGAAGTTTCTGGACAGATGGTGTGCCCGCACTGCCGATCCACCGTTGTCACTAAAGTGAACTACGTAAACGGCTTGCTCACCTGGCTGATCTGTGGCATACTGGGAGTCTTCCTGTGAGTACCTACATGATGCTTTGCTACTTTGTTTTATTTGCGGCAGATATTCTTTTAGATTCTTTGTTCTTGACCTTACTTAACACATACATTGATATCTTATTCTGGTACTGAATGTTATATAGCAAACAGTATAATACATGCTTACTGCAGTTAATACTATTTTATTGTCTGTTGACATGCATTCCAAATTATTATTTGTGTTAATGAGTGAAGTGATAAAGCAATATGAATACATTATGGTAATATGAATGCCTTGATAACACACTAATGATGTATTCTTCATACATAGTGTTAACAGCCAATTTTTATGTAACTATGCTAGGTTGAGCTAAGTCACATTTTGAAGGCAGCATGGTAGCTTTTTAACCTAAAATAAAGGTGCTGGCCTTACTGTAGTATTATTTTTGACTTAATTCTGATACTCCACATCAGGTGCTGGCCTTGCTGTATAATCCCCTTCTTCGTGGATTCAGTCAAGGATGTGGAGCACTCTTGCCCCTCCTGTAACAGAGTCCTGCACATCCATAAACGCAGGTGAAACAGCAGTAAACTGCACTGAAGCCACAACAAGAGGCAACCCGTGACCACACCAGGTTGGGAGCCCAACCATACTGTATGCAAACACATCGGACGTCATCATAACAATAAGACCTCTTGAGTAAAATGTGGGTTGTGAAAGCATTACTCTGTACTGGACATACTTTGTAGAGAGCAGATTATAAGAGCTGTGATATCTTCTTTTCTTTCATCAATTGATTTAAAATGTGCAATCATGCTTACATGACCTTAGTGAAATCTAATGAAAAACCTAATGATTGTTTGTGATATTATTTGTATTTGATCTGAATGATGTTCTCTCGATAAAATATACCTGTGTTAAATTGTATCAATGAAGGATGGTAAACACGCCATTTTCCTTTAATTTCATATTTCCTGTCTTGTAAAGGCTGTGAGTAAAGTCAATTTGGATGTAAAATTATTTGTAAGGCACCTACATTTATAATATTAATTTCATTTTGATTAAAGTTTTTTTTGAAAAGTTGATACGTTTATATACAATTATTAGTTTTTGTTTTACTGAAGACTAAAAAAAATGTATAACAAAATAACAAAAATGCACTATTTGTGGAAACATTTTAGTACAGAAAACTATTTCCTGCAACATTTGAGTCTTTTAAAAACATGATGACAAATGAATATATGTTAATGCAACAATATGAAAGAATTGGGAAAGGCTATTACTTACCTCCTATACCAGGGGTGCCCAACCTTTTTTGAACCGAGAGCTACTTTTAAAGTTGCCAGTCTGCCGAGATCTACCAGTCCAAATAGAGAGGTAGCCATTACTGACAGCCTACTACCAGGTAAATACACACTTCTTGTATAAAACTGACCTTTGTACGATGAATACTTCATAAAATACTGCAGATCCTTTATCTTACCTCTTTCTAATCTACACACATACAAGTATTTAACTGAAGTTACACAACAGTGCTGTTGATACAGAGTTGGAGTTTATTCACACGTCACATACTACAGTGGGTCATGTTTTCAAGAAACATTGAACAGTGCTGCCACATATGACACAGGAGAAAAAGAAAAGACGCTGAACCCTTTATTTGCCATTATATAAAAATAGTGTTGCTACAAAAGTATAAATTAGGCTTACTAATAAGACAACTCAGATCTGAAGCTACACAGGAATCTGCTGCCAAAGTGCAATAAAAAAGACAAAATCAATAGAATCAAACCTTTTTGTTGTTGCATTTTAGTAGAGTATAAAAATAAATGCCTTTAAAATAGGATGCTAGCAACACTAGTTTCTTAACCTGAATTGATAATAGACTATAATCAATTTAAACAGAACAGACCTTAATGTTTGCATTCTTATACCATGTTGTACAATAATTATAATGAATAAATTCAAACAAACTAAAACTTACAGCAGATTAATAGCGGTATCTAACTTGAGTTTTTATTATATCAAAAACCTGTTGAAATGCTACTGTTATTTTTACTATCCCCAAAAGCACGTCGGCAGCCTCCAGGACTGCTTCTTTCACAACTTCGCCGTCTTTGAAAGACTTCATGTGTTTCGCAAGAACGTGACTGACACGATAAGATGCTATGGTAGCAGCCTTGCTCTTGTTGTTGGGCCTGGTGAAAATGGACTGCTGTGCATTTAGCTGTCCTTCCAGGCCCCTCCCCTTTTGGAGCGTAGGGCAGAATTAGGAGGGAATTCCGTCTCGTAGCGTTTGTGCACTGTTTTGAAATTCCGCTCCTAAATTACCCTTCTTCGATAAAGCCACGCTCGCATTGCAGATGAGACAGATGGACTTTGAATTGGAATAGATAACAAAATAATCATCCTCCCACTCGGAGTGAGAATTATATGTTTTGCTTCTGCCATAATTGCGGTCTTGTGTGTGTGCGGCCTGTCACTCCTGTGTTGACACGGACAACGTTAGCGAACTAGTGCAGTGCACACTGCCCACTGCTCAGTGCTCACCAGCCACGCCCCGACACATGGGGTCACGCCGGCCAATCACAAAGCTTTGATGCGTTCAAGTGCATTATTCTGGCACGGGAAGATAATGTTATAGGACATTAACGATAAAACAGAATATTGTTGTTCTATTTTTAGACACATCTCGCGATCGACTGGGAATCTCCCCGCGATCGACCGGTCGATCGCGATCGACTGGTTGGGCACCCCTGTCCTATACCATTAATATCTTAAATCATTTTTTTAACTCAGCCTTTTATTGCAATACTAACAAATTCATTTCTTAAAATGAATACAATAAATCAAATGATTACCTTTGAAATATAGCTTTTTGTATTAGCAAGCCAGGTTTAAACTGTCAATGTAGATGCTATTATGCAAATATGTACTACACTATAAAGTAGCAGCCCATAATGTTTAAAGCAACTTTTGATTGTAGGATTGTAAAAATCGGGACATCTAGAAGGGGTACGGAGTACAATTACTTGTTATGTTACATGTTCACATTGAGCTGTCCTCAGGTTGTCATAATGTTGAGTCAAAAGGTGAGTTAGTTTTAGAGATATACATTCTTCTCTGCATACTAGGGATGCTCCGATCGATCGACCTAATACACCTAACACACTTAGCTATTTTATCTACCTCTGGAACTAGCTAAACTAGATATACATATATTTATTATTCACTTTCGGGTCACGCATTACTGGATCAGTGAGCTGCATGAGACGATACTGACAGGTCAGGAGAGAGAGGGGAGAGAGGAAAAGAGAGCGCTTCCGCTCACAATTCCCGTGTTATTATCCAAAGTTAATGTAAACTTGAATACATTATTGAAGTTTACATTAACATTTTAACATGTTGAACATTTTTTATTCAACATTACATTAACATTTATTTTTATTTGATTATTTATTATTACATTCAAATGAAGTACATTATTCAATAATGTACTTCATTTGAATGTAATAATTATGTTGGTTGTTGTTTGTGGAATATACAGCGAATGAGCCCCATTAACTGAGTTTTAAACATCACTTTAAATCAGTGCTTCTCAAAGTGTGGTCCGCGGACCACTGGTGATCCGTGAGTATATTGGTAACATTTCACATTTGAAATAAATAAATACATTTAAGTTTTCCGCACTCTCGCGGGAATATCTCCGCAATGGAGCGAGCTTAAGTTTAACTTTCGATTGCATGATATAGCCCAGCGCAACACCTTCATCACACGTTGCCACTTGTTTGTACCATTTTCAGGCGATTTGTAATCTGTTCTATAAAAACGATGTGTCTTTGGATATTTGTGGAGTTAGGTGGTTAAGTGGTCCTTGGTATGAAAAAGTTTGAGAAACACTGCTTCAAATGGAAGATCCCCATAGGCCCTGCCCACTCGATCGGATCGGCGATCGGTATCGGCCGATACTGATTCCGCCGATCGGCCCCAAAATTGGCGATCAGAGCATCCCTACTGCATACAATACATTTTAAAATTGAATTACAGTGAGATAATGATGGCATGTGGAAGAGGGGCAGACTCTTTGCACAGTTAGGAAAGGGATGCAGGGATAAAGTGTTTACAGAGTAAGCGTTTCGCCCAGCAGCCACTACTGTAATAATGATGACTGCACACCAGTTAATGTGCATGCTGGGTCACAGGCTGGGTTAACTGGAATACTTGATTGCAGCAAAGCTATTATTAACCTCCATTACAAACTGTCTGCTGAATAATGTCTGCCTTCATTTAAATGTCATGATGCAACTATTGGGAAGGTCAGGGAAAATAGAGGCCTTTAAATGTTGGTGCTGTCATTTAGTAGTAAATGTGTATGTTGATTTATATGATCAGAAGTGGCTAAAACGTATCAAAGTAAAATTGTTGTCTCCTCTATGCTGTTTGTCTACTTGACTAAAGACAAAGCTGATGTGCTGAATGTTCTGTTAAATGAGATCTCAGACTGGAGCTTACTGCCATTCTCAGAGCAGACAGCAGATAGAGCCAACTGACTGTGAGCTGAAGCTTTTCATTTGACGCTCCCCCACTTACACTTGACAATTCCTACAGTGCCCTGTTTTATACTTGGACTGCTTTAAAAAAGGGAATAGTGGTTTTTTCCCAACCTCTTTTCCTTTACCCCAATGGAAAATGTCCCTCTTTGAGGTCAAGGAAAGATCAGAAGGACAATTTATAGGGAGGAATTACGTAAAGAGAATCTACTTGCACTTATACCCGACAATATAATTATGCAGCGGCAGATATCATAATAATATTGGGAGGGATGAAACCCTCTTTAATGGTCACACATGCAGAGCACACAGCACACACAGTGAAATGTGTTCTCTGCTTTTAACCCATCCTAGCACCAGGAGTCTAGTACTAGGAGCAGTGGGCAGCTATTGTACAGCACCTGGGGAGCAATTGGAGTGAGGGGGGAAGGGGGATGTCCGGTACTTTGCTCAAGGGCACCACGGCAGGGCAGGAGGTGAACTGGGACCTCTCCAAGTAGCAGTCCACACTCCATTTTAAGGTCTGGTCGAGGACTTGACCCGGTGACCCTACGGCTCACAGTCCAAGCCCCTACTGACTGAGCCACTGCCGGACATAACACATAGTAGATGAGTACAGTAACAAACTAAATGCTGTACAATGAAATAATATGTCATGTCCAAACACAATCACACCTCCTAAGAGTTATGCTTTCAATTTAAGTGATTAAACAGTAAAAGCACATTTTGTTGACGTCCAAATGGTGTGTAGCTCTACATGTTGCTGCCCTAAAGGAATGAAGGGATGGCATTTACTACTTATTTTAGATAAAGGATGGTCCAGTTTACACTACACCAAGAGACAACAAAGGAAGAATAAAAGCACCTTCCTAGCATTGAGAGAATTATCTTATCATGGCTGTCACTAGACACTTCCCTAAGACTATCAGATATCCAACAGTAAAAAAGGATAAATTAATAAAGACCATTGATCTACCCTAAAGAACATCAGCCAACTGTACAAACATGTGCCTCTATTAAAGATCAAACACAACCAAATAACTTATTCTGTTATCAGTGCTCTTGGGCAAGGTACTCTACCATCAGGAGAAAACTGCAGATCTCCAGCTGTGCATGTCTTTACTGTGTGAAGTCGTGTTACAAAGTAATAACGTGCAGATAGAGCCTCGGTTTGTGCCCTCTTTGGGATCTGTATGAAGACATGAGGTGGGATAAGGGTGGGATTATGGGATGGGCCCTATTAGACTGTGACCAGAGTAAACACTGGATTACACAGATTAGGACTGGTTTCCTGAGTTAGTCAGCACTTCTCTGCCCTGTTGTCTCCTACCTCTTTCTTCTCAGGGGACGCAAATACAACACAGGAAAAGAAACAGTATACAGGTATGGCAGACACAAAACTCCAGTTGAGAAGAATTCCCAAACGTTTTGAAGACAGTGACAAAGTTCTGCTTTATGAATACCTGGGGCGGGCAGGGATTACAGAGATGAATGTATTTTATTAATCTTGGTTACTAATACCCAGGACTTTTA